GCTCAAGGTTGACACAGCCTTCCATCCTTCTGAGGTAGGTAAAATGAGGACCCCAATTGTTCCGGGCAATAGGCTGACTCTCTAAACCGTTGAGAGAGGGCTGTAAAGCACTGTTCAGCAGTATATGGGGACCAGAGGCTAAACCATATGACGAACAGTTGCAGGAATTGGGTATGTCTTGTGTCTAATGAAAAGAAGGACTAGGGAAAACATGATAGCAGGGTTCCAATATCTTAGGGGCTGCCTCAAAGAAGAGGGAGTCAAGCTATTCTCCAAAGCACCTGAAGGCAGGGCAAGAAGCAATGGGTGGAAATTAATCAAGGAGAGAAGCGACTTAGAACTAAGGAGAAATTTCCTGAAAATGAGAACAATTAACCAGTGGAACAACTTGCCTCCAGAAGTTGTAAATGTTCCAACACTGGAAGTTTTAAAAAAGATGTTGGATAACCATCTGTCTGGTGTAGGGTTTCCTGCCTAGGCAGGGGATTGGACTAGAAGACCTCCAAGGTCCCTTCCAACTCTGTTATTCTATTCTATTCTATTCTATTCTATTCTATTCTATTCTATTCTATTCTATTCTATGTACTATTGCAATAAATTCAGCCTTCCATCCTTCTGAGGTCTGTAAAATGAGGACCCAGATAGTTGGGGACAATAGGCTAACACTGTAAACTGCTTAGAGAGGGCTGTAAAGCACTGTGAAGCGGTATATGTCTAAGTGCTCTCGCTATATTATTATTATTGTTGTTGTTGTTGTTGTTGTTAATTATTATCAATAAGCTGTTTTACTGTATTTTAGGCCAACCCAGTTGACCCAGCAACCTTCCTGTGAGGAACTTATTCCCAAAGAATGACAACAACACAACGAACTTTTATTATGTTCGTGAAGCCAAAAAACCCAACATGGGAGTGTACCCACCCACAATTACATATATGAGCAAACGTTGTACAAGGGGTAAGTTCTCCCACCGAAGGTTGACTGCTTTTACTGCGAGTTAAGACCGTGCTGGCTGGGAATTATGGGAGATGCATTCCCAATGGAACCGGAAAGCTCCAGCTGGGAAGACTAGTTCGAACTGAAGAGGACAAGACAAGACAAGAAAGGGCTGCAATCTAAAAGCATTATTTAGCCAAGTAAGGATTGTCTCATGAACTTTTGATTCTCTGCTGCTTCAGAATGCAAGATGACATCTGACGGCTTAAGATACAGGAATGAAGTTATATTTAAAGAAAATTGTCTGGAATCATTTCCCTAGGAGCCCTTTAGTCGAAGAGGACTTTCCTGAGAAGGAGCTTTTCAGGGTGACCAGCGGCTGGGCTGTTTTTCTGGATTGCTTGTAGCAATGGGTGGCTGAATTAGATAGCCATTAAGGATGGAGGGATATCATCATCATCATCATCAAGAGCTTTCCTATTGCAGGAAAAGGAAAAGGAGAAGATGCACTAGAGCAGCTGATATTCCTTGATCATTGGTCGGCCACCAGTGGCTCTGGAGCTGCATGCGGCTCTTTTATCCCTCTGCTGCAGCTCCCTGTCACTGGTCGGCGCCACAATTTTGAGAGGAGCTTCCAGTTAAGTGAGGGGAAAGCATGGCACGCCAGGAGGAAACTCTATGATAAGGGGCGGGATTTCCAGTTGGCTCCACAATTGATAGGGCTTTTGATTAGGGCAGGTAGATGAAGAAGGACACCATGCTAGGAGACTCCATGGTGGGGGAACCAGATTTCCGGTCGGCAGAGGAAAAAGGATGCCGTGCTAGGAGGAGACTCTATGGTGGGGGAACCGGACTTCTGGTTGTCTCCAGAATTGAACAGGGGGCTTCCAGTGAGGAACTTTGTGGCTCTTTTGAGAATTAAGGTTGCTGACCCATGTCCTTCATCAACAAAATCAATCAGACTCTTCTCCTTTCTATGACATTCTTCCTGAGAGTCAATGGACACGTCTCCCATGCGCCCCACTTGCCTTGTAGCAAAGGCCAGGCTGTGTTCTCTTTCACCCTAGCAGGCTCAGGATATCAGTCAGTGACAGGTGATGTCCGAAGACATCTCCGTGGTCATGTGGCCGGCAGGACTAAACGCCTTCCAAGGCGCACAGAACACTGTTACCTTCCCACAAAAAGTGGTCCCTATTTTTCTACTTGCATTTTTTTATGTGCTTTTGAACTGCTAGGCTGGCAGAAGCTGGGACAAGGAACGGGAGCTCACTCTGTTACGCGGCGCTAGGGATTCGAACTGCTGACCTTTCTGATCGACAAGCTCAGCGTCTTAGCCCCTGAGCCACCGCGTTCTTATCCAGCAATAGAAGAGGCCAAGTCTGAGGTCCAAGAGTGACTGCCACTAGACACAAGATCCTTTACGGAAGGAGAATCAACGGAGCTTTTTCTTCCTTGGCCCACAGAGAGGGCCAAGCTAGAATTCAGTTGTCCCCAGAGTGCTTTTTTTTTTTTCAAGAGGCAACTGGACTTTCTAGTTTTTCTTTGAAGACTTTTCGCTTCTCATCCCAGAAGCTTCTTCAGCTCTGATGGCTGAGAATTTCCATAGACCTCTAGATTTTCAATCAATCAATCACCAATTATAAAAAAGATGTTGAGACTCTAGAAAGAGTGCAGAGAAGAGCAACCAGGATGATGAGGGGACTGGAGACTCAAACATATGATAGATGGTTGCAGGAACTGGGCCTGGCTAGTCTAGTAAAGAGAAGGACCAGGGGAGGCAGGAGAGCGGTCTTCCAATATTTGAGGGGCTGCCACAAAGAGGAGGGGGATCAAACTATTTCCCAAAGCACCTGAAGGCCAAGGAATAATGGATGGAAACTGATCGAGGAGAGATTCAACCTGGAAATAAGGAGAAACTTTCTGACAGTGAGAACAATCAATCCATGGAACAGAAGTTGCCTTCGGAAGTTGTGGGAGCTTCATCCCTGGAGAGGCTTTCAAGAAGAAACTGGACTGCCATCTGTCAAAAAAATGGTGTAGGGTCTCCTGCTTGGGGGGTTGGACTAGATGATCTACAAGGTGCCTTCCAACTCTGATTATCTGTTACCATCTGTTAAGAATAGAGCTGGAAGAGATCTTGGAGGTCTTCTAGTCCAGCCCCCTGCTGAAGCAAGGAGACCCCGCACCATTTCAGATAAATCATTGTCCAATCTCTACTGAAAAATCTTCACCCACAATTTCTGGAGGCAAGTCGTTCCGCTGAGCTTAGATTATTTCCAGAGGGCATCTCATGGGACTTAGAATCCCATCCCTACTGTGCAGATGGCTTTCTAGGAGTGGAAATGGGCTTCTAAAGAATGAGTGGGTGTGGTTGTGGACCTTACAGAATAATACGAAACCCCCTCCTAAAAGGGGTTTGAGGTTGAGAAAGTGCTGGCTGGGGAATTCTGGAAAACCCACCCGTCCTAACGTGGCCAAGAGAATTCACAAAGGATGAGGAAGAATCTGGGAGATGCCACCAAGGAAGAAGTCCACAACCCAGGGTTGCTCGTCTGCTGAACTCAGGAGTGACACCAGTAACGAATTCAGCTTTTGGGAGTGGTGCAAAAAAGGAAAAAAAGAGGGGAACGGAGGGAGAGGGAGAGGGAAGAGAGAAAGAGACGGAGAGAAAGAGAGAAACAGAGGGGGAGAGAAAGAGAGAAAAAGACGGAGAGAGAGAGGGAGGGAGAGAAAGAAAGGGGGGGGGCTTTCCTTGCGCGGAAAGTTTTGCGCCATAACTGCGCCCCGAAAAGTTGGAGAAGAGTCCCAGTGTCCCCCTCCCCACGCCCCGACAAGCTAAGCGGCCCGTGCGGGTTCGAGTCCCGAAGGCACCCTGGGACGATGCCCCCCCCC